TCTAAGCCATTCTTTATTCATTAGCCAGAGGGTCACATGACAATCTGAGTCATACGAAGTCATTCTCTCCATCTAAAATACTCCAATGTCATCCAAGTTCACTAAAAATAAAAAATAACCTAACCTCCTTTACAGGATCCTCAAAGGTTTTACGTGATCTGGCCTCTGCTTACCACTCCAGGCTAGGCCTGTGAGACTCTTCCTCTTGCTTTCTGGCTAAAGCACACTGAACTCCCTTTACTATCTAAACCACACTAATTTATTAGCTGTCTTAGGATCTTGGCACTTTTGTTTGTTTGTTTGTTTGTTTGTTTGTTTTTTCTGCATGAGAACAACTTTTGCCTATCCTTTTCATTTCTGGAAACTTTAGGTCTCAATTTAAAAGACTTCCTTGACTACGGCATCTGAAAGAGATTCTTCATCCTATTTACTCTTAGTCTTAACACGCTGTGGAATTGTCCCATAGCACTATCTTTATTTTGTTATTTGTTTGTAATTTTTATCCCTCTACACTGCTTAGCTGTTAATTTCACCAAGGCTTGTGTCTGACTCAAAATCACATCTTCACAACCTAACATTGCTCTTGACACATAGTAGACTCTAAATATCTATTGATGAATGAATGAATGAATGAATGAATGAGTGAGTGAATGAATGAGTGAATGAATGAATATGACAAATCAGAAGAGAAGGAAACTGTACTTTTCTGTTGCCTGGTGGGTATGGAGTTCTTTTCCTCTTTCTATACATTTTTAAACATATTCTCTGTTGACATTCAATTAATAAAGCTAACACATGACACAGTAATTAAATTTTTAGGTTGAGTTATAAATTATTTGAAAACATTGTAAGGTTATTCTCATTTGTGTGGAAAAATTATTCCTAATTTACCTAAGTGTACACACTTCTCCACGATGGCTTCCCCATTTTAAAATATTATTAAAGCTTTAAAATAAAAGTTCTCATTTTGCTCCTTTGGGGGAAAATGTAGTTTTGCTTATTTTAATGACCTACTTACTTAGTAACAAGAAAAAATGTTAACGAAAATGTGACTCTTTGCAAACGGAAGGATGGAAGAAAGCCTTAGAAGTGGATGCAGCAATACATTAGCAGCCTAAGGTTTTAAATACTGAGGTGTGAGTTGTGGTCTTATCATGTACTTGCTCAAGGGTTCTTGGGCAATTCATTAGAACTTTTCTCTGCCTCCTTTCTAACAGAAATGATGCCTGCCCTGCTTATTTCTTTGTTTTGTTGTAATAATCTTATTAGACATTGTATGCGAAAATGTTTTCAAAATGTTTTCTGCGGATGTGAAATCCTGCTATGTTAGTGAGCTACCTTGCAAAATTGACCCTAATGCATCACTCCTATTTCAGAAAGGTTGTGAAAGATGACCTAAGGCAATCATCTATAGCGGAAGCCTGTGCCAAATCAGGTGCATCAAAAGACTGAGATGAACAAAATGTTGTGTAACCCTTCAATAAATGGAAAATGGGTAAGGGCTGTCTCCCTGAACTGTTTCCTGGTGGCCGGTGCCCTAGCTATGCTTCTTTCAGAAGGCATATAACAATGTTGAAAGTGGCTTAAGAGCACAGGGGGGATACTTTTCTAGCTCCTTTGTGGGAGGGTTTACTGGTGTGCCACTTCTAAGCTGGGAGAAGCTACTTCAGGATGCTAGCAGGCTGATTTGTCAGAGGCTGAAAGAACTTCACCCCTTCAGAAGTCCCAATCTGGCTTTTCACACCATGCCTCCTTCCGTCTCTTCTCACCTTTCCCCCTTTTCTTCTCCAAATGGAGAATGTGGGAAACAAGGGAGAGGAGCTCCTAGAGGGATGAAAAGGAGAGAACTGCTTCAGTTCCTTTTAGTTCCCCCAATGCAAGCTGTGCTGCTGAGTTAAAAATATGTAATTTAGTTTCTAAATCTATTTCAACCCCTGCCTGGCCTACTGAGCAATCACAAACCATCCAATTTCGATTCAGATCTTTGCTTTTAGCTTTACTTTAAATGGAACACAGCTAAGTTGTATAAACAGATATAAAGTAAATGCTCCACAAAGAGTGAAAGTAGGATTAAAGGAACCAGGAAGTAAATCCATATTTATAGCACACTGGTCAAAACCTGAATTGTTTTCATTTTATTTTTAAAATGCCAAGCTTTTTGCAAAGTACAAAATGTCAAAGAAGGAAGGGATCAAACTTGTGGCATCCAAGAATCTCTGCTAAGAATAAATTATCTTATTATTTTCAGTGAATTATATTTCATTTACACATCCTGTAAACAGCTCACACATTGTCTGCAGGTGAGAATACTATTCCTTCGTCACATTTGGAATACTATACATTTACAGAGAATGACCCACTTCTATAAATGAATCACACCACAAATATTAATGAGCAGAGCCAAAACTATGCGCTATAGTAAAGTTTTACTGATTAATCAACTGCTAATTCTAGGAGAAAGGTGAATTCAACTGCTTCCCGACAGATATAAAAGTATCTCCAGGTGGGTAAAGCAGATCACTTGGCAGTGACGTGTGAGATGACTAATAATGCCTCTGAGACATTTCAGCAGCACTGCACCTAACCAAAATCCAGTAATGGATGACACAGACTGACTTCACTCATTTTACTGTCTGTATAATATTATGGGAGAGGATAGTTGGTAAAAAGGACCCATCCACAGTGGATCCCTTCTTCCTTTTGAAATATAACGTGTATCATAACCAATTGGGCAGAAACTATTTTAGTTCTCAACATTTAATAATAAAGCCATATCATTTCAATGATAAATTTTCACTTTTACTTAGGTTCATGTACATCAAGTAATGAATATTTAAACAACATGGGATTTGATCCTTCTGTTATTTTTTCTTTACTTGAAATAAGTTTAAAAATCTTTATGAGCAGATAAATCCGCCTTTATTGACATGATACAAATGGTATCCCATCACGTGAAACATTCCCCCACAAAATTATTTTTGATCTAAAGTGATAATTTCCCAATCACTTATGAAAGATTGTGCATTGACAAATTCGCTTTAGTCAGAAAGCCGCTTTCCAAATCTGCATAGAGGCAATGGCAGTGCTGAGCGTCCTACTCCTGGAGAGGCAGTGTGAAAACAACCAGGAGAACCTTTCATCCTTTATCACTGACAATCCACAAAGACTGCATCAATGCTCTCGATGGCTCCCCATAACCGTCTCAATAAAATCCAGAAAAGAGTGTTTTGGATCAGAAGACCTGGCCTGATTTCAGCTAATCGTTATTCATATGCTGTGTCCCTGTATAAATCCCTTTCCCTTTCCAATCTTCAATGTCTTTGTTTAGAGAACAAAACTTAGACTCCAAAGAATCATCCAGTTCTACTTTATTCAGTTCTATCTTTTTCTCCAACAGATCTATGTAACCCAGGACCACACTCCTTCTAAATCGTGTCTAATTCTGTCTTATTTCGCGGAAATGTTCTGCTCCCTTTTACTTTCTCCATTTTCCTATCATCTTGTCTCCTACACATCCTCAATAAGAAGCTTAAATTTCTCCATGCTTGTCATACGTATTATGTGATAGTCATCACATAGTATCTGATAGCCTCTCAATCTGCATGGGTTTGTCTTTTAAATACACAGCCTGAACTGCATTCACATCATGCCCATGCCGTTTGCTGTGAACTTGGACCACCTACTTAATTCCCCAAGCCTCAGTCTCTTCACCTGTAAATTGGGGATAGTAATAATAGCTTTCTCTCAAGGTTGTTGTCACGATTGAACAGCGATGCCTATAAAATTCTGATATATGTGGAAATTTAAATAAATACATATAAGATTAGTTGTTGTCATTATTGTTAGCACTCCTACTACTAGAATATAAGCTCTTTTGAGACAAAGCCTATACCTTCAAACTCATTTCCTGAGAAGTATCAGGCCCAGTGTGATGGAAGAAACAGGGACTTGTCAGGGCCCACACTTCCCATGAAGTCACTTGCCTTCTCTAAGGTGAAGAACTGCTACTTGAGATTTCTGTGAACTTAGTGCCTAGAACAATGCCTGTCACAAAGATTCTCATTATGTAAGCAAAGGGAATATGAATATAAAAAAGAGCAACAGTACTGCTATGGATGCACTTCTAATAGACATATAAATACAGGGCCCAGCAAAAGTAGACCCTGCTTGAGTGTGGTTAATAGGGTAATAATATGGGTGTAATAATTTATAGTATTAATTTGAACATTTCACCTAAAATGTCATGTGGTGAGCCTGAGCGTGATACTGTTATGTTACAGAATTACATGCTTATGATTTTTTAATAAAAGACTTCGTAATAAAAAGGGGGCGTTACTTGTGCCGGACCCTGTATTTGTTGAAGAAATAAACACTTCTGACTGCAAAGTCTTAGGAAGGCAGCAAATGTCCCCTCCCCAAATAAATTAAAAACTCATCCCACTGCAGAAGAGAAGAGGGAAGGACTGGGTTCTCTAGCAGAGCAGGCAGCTTCGTGCCCCAGATTCGTGTCCTAGGTAAAACAAGGCCGAGGTTTTGGCTGGGGGACTGACACCACGTGATAGAACAAGGAACATCGCTCAGCTGCTTCAAATGCAACCTGCTTTGAGTTAAATGGCCAGGTTCAGGGGAACCCCATTCTCGGGGCACGAGGCAGCAGGGCAGCTGAGCCCCGAGTTTCCATTTTTGACTCTTCCCCTCCAACCTCCCCCACCCAGCAGTCAAGTACCGGGAGGTAATTAATGTGGGGGAGAAGCAAAGCTTCTGAGGGGGCAGGGACCTGGGAAAGTGTGGTTGGGGGCGGTCTTCTGTCAGAGGTCTAATCGAAAGAGAGGAGGGAGGGAGGGTGGAGGGAGTGTGGGATGGAAAGGAGGAAAAAGAAATAGATTGTTTTTTTCATTTTACACGCGAGGCATACCTAATGATATTCCCACAGACAGACAGACAGGCAGACCGAGAGAGGGACAGACAGGACACACTTCAGCGTTTGAAATCGTTCATACCCCCAAATCCAGGACGCAGCCTGTTGTCATAACCATCGAGTAAACTGTCCAGGATGCGGGTAAAATTTTCCGGGCATAATTTATCCTCATTTTGGTTCTGTCCTGGGGATTCGTTTAAACTGCAAATGCAAATGCAAAAAAAAAAAAAAAAAAATCAGGCGGAGGGGATTATTTTAAGAATCAGAGAACAGGTGGAAACATTATCTTCTAGGCAAAGAGTCGCTTGCCCCAAGCTAAAGGATGCAGAGCTGAGGGATGAGGGAGAGAAAGAATCAGGAAAAACGGACTCCGCACACTCAAACCCCAACACCCGCGCTCTTCTTGCACCCGGTGGCTCTTCTGTTCTCTGCGTTTACGCGGTCACAGAAAAGCCTGGCTCTGGCCCCTGACCTTACAGCGAAGACAGAAGGGTCTGGTTTGCCCCGGGAGGGACGGGCTGCCGGAGGGTCCAGGAGCCCGCCACTTCTCCATCTTCCCCTGGCCCCCCAGTACCCCAGAGAACTCACCAAGCCTCCAGGCACAGGACGTGCAGGAGGGCGAAACTGACCCCGAAGGACGTCGCGATCGCGGGTACCTTCTTGGCAGAAACCATCTTTGCAACATGCCATACTTTAAGCCTGATCAGTTTTCCAGGCTCTCCAGATGCCCTGAGCAGGGTGTCAGGCGAGGGCAGAGGCTCTCCACTGCGTGCGCACACGCGCTCACACTAGCCCGCGCTCAGCCAGCCAGAGCTGCGGTGGGCGCGTGTGTGCACGCGGGCCAGGGGGAGGCGGAACCTGCCTGTCCTCGCCCCCTCCTTTCCTTGCTGAGCTCCCAATGTGGATAGAGAGCTTTGTATACCGTTCAACACCCTTTCGTGCCTGCACCCTGGAGCTCCCGGGGTTGATAGTGGTGTGCTTTCGCCGAAAAGCTGAGCAAGTTCTTCCCGACCTTTAACTCTGGGTCGCAAGATCAGGGTCTCCCGAATCTCCTGGAGGCCGCGGCGCCCCCACCCCAAGCGCGTCCCAGCCCACAGCAGTGCTTAGCTTCCACTTCTCCCTCCAAGTCCCCCTCCCTCCTGCTGGGATTTGGATCGAACCAATGAAACCCCTCCCTCCTAAGGTTGTTCGAGGACCTGTTTGCACCCATTTCCAAAGCTGGAGGCGGAGAAAGGACCAGATGACGACGATTGCGGGGCAACGGGGTGGGAGGCCAGGATAAGGAGAAGGGATCAAGTCTGGACAGAAAGCAGCCTTTGAGACTTGCCCCCTCAGGTGCTGGTGGGCGGCGAAAGAAACAAGATTCATCTTGGTTAAAAGGTTTGCAACTCACTGAAACTCACTTGCAGACTCTTAGGAAGTGGACTTGAGCTACATTCTGTATGTAGTCAAGGCATTGCCCAAGCTGCTGCTGTGAAGATACCGAATTTCTTTATTATACCCGCCCCCACCTGGCAAGCCCAGGGCCTCCGCTGTGCTGCTCCATTCTTTCCTGAAAAGAAGGGACGAGGTGGGGCAAAATCGCCACATCAATCACTTGTACTTTTTGTGACACTCAACAGACACGACTGAATTCGAGAGGTTTACTGCTTGGGGTCGGAGGAGGGCTGGGGAGAGAGACCCGAGAGATTGGGGGGAAAAAAAGACAATGGGGAGGGAGGGAAGGAGCACACTTATGCAGGTGTTAAAATCATACCTGTAACTTTCTTCTTTAAAGTTAATAAGTCTTTGACTGCTCTGTGTAATAGAATTTGAATTGGGTCCAGGTACACTACCCCCAAACATCATTATGTTAAGCTGGTCACGTATTACAAATTTATCATAAGGATTTGTATCTGATGTGATGTAAATAAGGTGAGATGTAAATAATACAGATCGCCCTACTCCTAAAATGTTAGGATAGACACTTCAGAGTCCACAATGACTATGAAATTCCTTGAAAATGAATGCAAAATTTTGTATTTATGTAAGTATGCATATTTCTGTGGGACTGTTCATAACTTTCATTAGAGTCTCAAAGACTCTAGAGTCTACAGTGACAACTATAGTAGGGACTAATGTTTTAATATAAAAGATGACACATACAGCCCTGGCCCATGTGGCTGGGTTAAGCGTCATCCCATACATCAAAATGTTGAGGGTTCAACTCCTGGTAAGAATCAATGTCTGGGTTGCAGGTAACGTTCCCCAGTCAGGGTGTGAGCAAGAGGCAACCATCGATGTTTTTCTCCCTCTCTCCCCTTCCCTTCACTTCTCTCTAAAAATCAATAAGCATGTCTTTGAGTGAATATTTTTAAAAAACACATATAGTAGAATATACTCAATCAAGCAAGTGAACAAACATTTGTGACCAATATGTGACACTTCTATCCTGTTTGATAACCTTTTCTATTGTCAGTTTCTATACACAATTATGTTGGCATTGAATCTCCTTTGAGGGTATTCATTATCAATTTATCAAATGACCAAACAGCTTGATACCCAAAAATTTTGTGTGGTAATAAAATAAATAATTTTAAAGGGCTCAATGTGTTCTTTCTTTCCTTTAATTATTTCTGGTAAATAGTGAACAATTTTAACCATTTGAAAAGGGTACTGATGTGAATTACTGCTTTAAAATATGGAAGTTTGTGTATATACACCAGTTGAAACACTTTGGTTTCAAGAATATAGAAGCTATCCTTTGTTTTTAAGTTAATGCATTTCTTTGTCTCCTGTATTTAAGTAAGGGAGAGAATCTATTTGATGCTCTCTATTCATGCCTTTCCTTATTGGTATTTAAACAATGCTTATACTGAAATTTTACCTGTATGCTGACCTATTATCGTCTGGTTATAGATTTTTATATTCATTCTTAAGGCATCTCAAAACTGTGTCTATTTTATTAATGGTCACTACATAAAAATAATAATCCAGTGAACATTAACACATTCTACTTTAATAACTATTTCATGATAACAGTTGATACTGCTTCCAAAACAAGTAATTATTTTTATTTGCAATGTAGTTAATTCAGATTTAGTTATGTCAACATGCTTATTTGAAAGAGAACAAAATTTGGGCAATATTTGTATCTTATCTGAATAATTTCTATACATAAAATTTGGAAATTCTACTATTATAGGATTTTTTACTTATTACTTAAACATTTTTATAATTCTCCATGATCAAGTTTAATATTGAAGCAGTATATGTATACTTAATAGTTTCCAAAAATCTTTCATTAATTTAAATTACAATAAAAAATACTAGCTCTCTAATATCAGCTTTTGTTTCATTTGAAAGTTTAATATTTTGTAACAAGTAGAAAAAATATTTTTAAGGACCTCAAATCCAAGTAATAAATTTAATAAATACTTTGTAAGCTCATTTACAAATGGCTAATAATGTATAAAGCAGTAGTTTATTTTTGAGGCATTGAATTATGGAATGACTTCTCAGAGTAATTTTACAAGAATTATTTTATAGTTGATTCCAAAAAAAGCCATAATTCATGGGAGTGTGTGTGTGAGAATGTTCTATGAACTTCATATAGAATACTAAATATTAGATGGAACATTTCCTTAAATGTATTTACATATATGTGTATATGTTTTCAAAGTTTCTGGGAAAAAATACCATTATCAATTAATAGATTTTTTTTAGCACCTAATAGTAATGATTAGCAAGGTCAATATTTACAATACCAATATTACCAAGTTCTTATTATATGATAAATATCTTTTATCTATTTTTAGATTAATTTTCTTAATTTTAAGTCAATTTTCTTACAATTCCAGAGACTAGAAGTCCAAGGTCAAGGTTCAGTAGGGTTGTTTTTGCTGAGGCCTCTCTCCATAGTTTATTGATGGTCATTTCACCATATCCTTAGATGGTCTTTTTTTAACATATGCATGCATTTCTGTGTCCAGGTTTCCTCTTTTTAGGAAGACATCAGTCATATTGGATTAAGACCCACTCTAAAAATTTCATTTTAAGTCAATTTTTTTTAAAAGTCCTTATTTCCAACCAGAGTCAGATTCTGGGGCACTGGGGGTTAGGACTTCAGAATATGAATTTGGTATGGACATAATTCAGCCCATATCAGCACTAATCTTCCTTCATCTACATAGAAAATAAAATGAAAGTAAAATGCATATAATGGGTTTGTAAATTCATTCAGCCATAAAGGTCTATTTGATATCATTATATCAATAATAAATTATAATTATTACAATAATATCAATTATTCTTTATTCATAGCTAATATCATTTAAATGTTCAGAAAGCTCTATTTGTGGTTAGATATTAATTTCCAAATTTTATAGATAAGAAACTGGAGCTTGAAAATGTTAAGTAATTTGCTCATAGTTACAATGACCAGAAAGTGGATAAGTCAAGATTTTATTCAATTATTTTGGTAAACATTTTTTTGTTTTTATTTTTCCTTTTTTACTTGATATGTGTATATATTGTGAAATGATTAGCACACTAAGGTTAGTTAACACAGCCATCACATTACATATTTACCTTTATTTGTGTGTGTGCTGTGAACATAAGATCTACTCTCAGCAAATTTCAAGTATACAATACAGTATTATCAACTATAGTCACCATGCTGTATTTTAGATTCCTAGAACTTATTCACCTTATAATTAAAATTTTGTACCCTCTGATGAACATCTTCTACCCACACCCTCAGTGCCTGGCAACCACCAATTACTCTGTTTCTATGAGTTTAGCTTTTTTAGATTACACATTTTAGTGAGATCATGCAGTATTTATTTTTCTCTGACTGCATTATATTTTGCTTCAAGAGTGATATGAAACTAATAACACAGATTTGGAAACAAGGAAATGGATACTTTATATTGTAATATAAATAAAGTAGTATAAAGCATTGAATTTAAGGAAATCTGGTATATGTATCAACATGGTACATGTTAGGAATATAAACAAAATGCAAGTGGCAAAACAATATCTTCAGTAAAATATTATCTGTATAAAATTTAAAACATAAAAAAAGTACACTGTTTCTTGGTATATCCATAATTATATGAAAGCTGTATGAAAAAAATTAACACCAATTAAAGGTAATGGGTATCTGCAAAGACGAAGAAAGAAGTGAAATAAGGAACATTGGCTACTATGACTTTCTAGGTAATGTTTTATTTCATTTAAAAAATCTGAAGCAAATATGACAAAATGTTAAATATTGAAAAATCTGGTAGTAGGGACTCAGCTTTTCATTATACTATCTTTTTGTATTGTTGTGATTATCTGTTGCTGTATTTAATAAGCCATTACAAAATTAGTTAGCTTAAAAGAATAATTTAAGATCAGTATTTATGGTTGAACCAGGCTCACCTCGTCGTTCTCCCTAAAGATTCCTCACCTCATGTGGTTAGATAGTGGCTAGAGGTGCAGTTATCTATGAAGGTTTGACTGAGCTGGCCATTGAAAATAGTATATTACTTCACATGACTGGCATCTCAGGTGGAATAGCTGGAGAGTTGACTGAGTCAGTCTCTCAATGTGACTTTCTCTCTCTCTCTCTCTGCTTTCTTAGTTAGTTAGCTTGGATTTTCTCACAACACGATGGCCTTAGGATAGTCTGACTTTCCACATGGCAGCT